ATTTTTCTTTTTGAACTGTCAGGTTAAAAATTCCATGATAATTCTATGTTTATCCTTTTGTGTGATGTAAATTAAATGTTGAATGGCGGTTCATGCAGGGAAAGAACATATCAATATTCGCATATTCATTCAAAAACATGAAAATTCTTAATGGAGTACCCTCATTTTTTATTGAATTCCTAAAAAACAATATTTATAATGAATTTTAATAATTTTTTCGAATTTTTTTGAAGCTTTATTCTGACCGATTCACCCGATTCCCGATCCGGATAGCCGATTCGTCCATCCGGATCGGTTTTTTGAAAGCCCGATCCGAGTCACCGATCCGGTTTTTAAACCATTGGTTTAAAGAATTGGCTTGTTAAGGGAGATATCTAATTCCAAAGTAGTACAAGGACTTGCAGGCACTTAACGAGCACGCATGACCCTAAGGAAGGGGATCTAACGCCTACCTTATGCGAGAAATCTAGGGTTGGGGCTGGGTTGTGAAACTTTAAAAGTTGATGGAGTTTCTTTTTTGGGGTTAAAATTGTCTTCTACCATTTCTTGGAGTTAAAATTGTCTTCTACTAATGGGAAATAGAACGAGTAAAGCCTCCAAATTCACCTAACTCAAGCATCTAAATTGATCATTGACAAAATGGGTTTGACCTCTATGGTGGTTTTATCAATTAGAAAAAAACTCCTTCATTTTAGCTTTAAATTATCAAGGGAGCGAATAAAGTCACCGACGATTGAAAAGAATGGCGTGCCTCGCAATATATGCACGTAAGAATGACGTGCCTCGCAACATATGCACGTTCAATTGAGTGGTGTCCTTCAAATGCACCGACAAGCGTCGAGATTTACAATAAATAAGCGATGTCCGCGCCAACAGACCACCCTTAACTTTTCTCTCTCATACTTTCCCACGCTCTCTCCGGCGAACAACATGTCACCTTGAACACCTTTTCTTTTTTTGTTTTTTTGTTTTTTTTTCCTTTTCTTTTTTTTTTTTTATCTAAGGTCCAAATTCTAGAAGAAACAATGGCCTGGTAAGCTCTTTAAAAACAAATTAGGGTTTGAGCGACAAAATATGGTAGCCCAGCTAGGTTGGGCCTAGGTCAAGGCCAGCCTCAAACAACTTTCTTTCCTGTGTTAGCCGAGGTTAAGGCCATGCTTGGGTGAGAATCTTTCAGATTGGATCTAGATCACCCACATTTGGATTTGGATCGAAAGTATTTGGATTTGAATCTGGATTTGATCTAATTTTATAATGTTTGGATCTATATCCGAATCTAAATGTATGGGATTTGGATCTCATCTGGATCTGGAAATCATATATAGGATCCAATTAGTTTTTCTAAATTTTTTAAAAGTTATATATATTATATATATTAATAAATAAGTAATGATCCTATGAGACCCTCCCATACTCATGTGTGTAGGGCTTCAAAGGATCACCATTAAATGTGATACGGATCTCTAGAAAAGTTATCACATGGATGTGTGACTTGACTTTTTTTTAGATATGTATCAAATTTAATGATGATCCTTTGAGGTCTTACACCACACAGGTATGGGAGGATTTCGTAGGATGATTACTCTTAATAAATATATAATTATATAGGAAATGACCTTATGAGACCCTTTTATACCCATGTGTATAAGACCCCAAATGATCACCATTAAATTTGACACAGATATTTAGAAAAGTTAAGTCTTACACCCATGTGATAACTTTTTTAGAGATCTGTGTCCAATTTAATAATGATCATTTGGGGTCCTACACACATGACTGTGAGAGGGTTTCATAGGATCATTACTCTAATTATATATACATGCATATATAAAAGAATATATAATATTTTAAAAATTGGGTTGGATCCACCGATATTTGAATCCGATCTAAATTACTATTCAAATCCAAAATCCAAATGTAATCCAAATTTTAAATCCAAATCTCAAATCCAACTTGGATCTGAATTTCAAATTTTGGATCTCTGAGCCCAAGCCAAACCTAGGCGGCCCTTTGGAAACTAGAGCTAAGATAGAGTAAGAGCCGGCGAGGCCGGCCCCGTTGCCATCCCTACCAAGCCTTCAAAAAATGCATCCTCTTTCATGTTCTTTCCCACTCCTCTTGTTACATCTTTACTGCGTTCTCTAACCTTCGAATTTCTGGTTTTTATAATGTAGGTAACCTTTGGCTTTCTACTTTCAATATCAAATGAGGACGGCACATGAGAACCGACAGGTCAAGACATGGCCCGAGCTTGTGACCAGTTGCCGACGATCTCAGATCACCGGCTCCCCTCGTTTCCATTCACATTCAAGTTCCAATCACCGTCCCTCACTTTCTCTCTCTAAAACTCATTGACTCAGCCATTGCCAAGAGCTTTCTCTCTCTCTCTCTAACTTCACTTGAACTTCCGTACTGGCCTCGACGATTCCAGGTCGCTCTGGACCCCCTCTTTTTCCATTCTATAACGTCCTATTACCATTTGGTGCATTTTCTCTCTCCTCTCTCTCTCTCTCTCTCTCTCTCGTGGCGAGTGTACGTTCGTCGTCGTCTCTCTACTAACGTAGTTAATTACGTACTCGTACCTACCTACTACACGAACTAATTACTTACTACTTACTT